TCAGTGACTGATTTCTGCACCGTGGGACTTGTTGAAAGATCGTTGCCGGCCCAAGTACTGCACGCTGCCAGCAAAGGGGAAGACTATCACACTCCCATCTCCGACCTGTACACGTTTCCGCCGGAGAACACCTTCCTCTCCGAGTTGTTCGACGCAGGTTGGGTTTTCCCTGGACGCAGTCTCAGCCATGCTGTCGACACCGTTCCTTGCTGGTCTTCGAGCATCTGCCGCACAGCAGCCCAAGACGCGCCCAGAATCAGAATGTCATCTGCGAAGCGGAAGTTTGTCAAGTAATTGGCGTTCGCCTTGACACCGTACCGATTTGACCTTACTTCTTTTTCAATTCGCGCATGATCTGCTTCAGAACAGCGTTAGACAGAGCTGGGTTCATCGGGTCGCCATGCTTGGTGCCTCTCTGCAGCGGGAATGTTCGACTGGCCGGGTCGGGCACCACTTGCCCTTAGTGTGGATATATAACCTCGCAAGCACCTGGACGTAATTATGCGGCGCGCACTGCGCCAGAAGTGACTCCCAGATCGAGATGTGGCGCACGGAGCCAGAAGCTCGTTCGAAATCCACCGCGGCTACCCACCAGCCGATGAGGATGGCGATGGAGAAATTGACCGAGACGATGGAACCGCTGTGCTCGCCGACGAGCTGGCTGAACTCGCCGACGGGCGGGGCGCACATGCAACGCATGATGTCGCCACTCCTTTGCCGAGCCCTCCTTTGCCAGCAGCCGAGCAGCCCTTCCCGTCGCCGACCAGCGTCGTCGTAACGTTGAGTGCCTCGAACTTGGCCGTGGACAGGCGTCCGGCCTCTTCCTGGATCGGTTTCTCGGTTTCCTTCTCTTCCTCTTTGCCTGTTGCGGAGGCCGCGGCCGAGGCTGCTGCCGGGGCGGTGGAAATGCCCTCGCCTGCCTCGCCTGCCTCGCCGCCCTCGCCGCCTGCATCGCTCTTTCTCTTCTTGGCCTGGCGATCGGCGATGAATGCCCGAAGCTCCTCGGCCCTCTTCAGCCAAGCTTTCACCTCGTCCTCCTTGGTCTGTAGGCTCGCTTTGGTCACGCCCAGGTCCCTCTCGAGCTGCGCCGAATCCTCCATATCACGCTACTGGCTGTGCATTGCTTGAAGATTCTCAAATGAACTGGTGTCCCAAGGCAAGTAGAATAGGGAGAGGTCATTATGGTTGCTGGTCGTCCCCGTCTTGATCACATCCTCGGCTGCGGCGAGCTGCTGCGCTGCCGAAGACTTGCCGTGGGTGGCGAGGGCGAGAGTACGAGCCGCCCGCTTCTCTCTCGCCTCCGCTTTCCCAAAAAAGCCGCGAAGACGATGCACAGACTTGGCAGCTTGCACGTGCTTCCTCTCCGCGTCCCGCCATGCTGCATCCGCCTTCCGAACTACATCAGGTGGGTTCTCGGGGATCTCACACGCGACTGCGGAAACCTTATCCAGCTGAACCTTCAAGACGTCCTTCATAGACGGGTCAGAAGTCTGCGCAATAGCTGACTCCAGTGCGGTGGCCAGGTCTGCGTCGGGTGGGGGCTTCAGAATCGACTCGGGTTGGGAGCCGCCGGTCTGAATCGAGCTCCTGCCTGGTGCAGGCAACTGGTCATCCTGGAAGAGCACACGTCGGGGTGATTTCGAACTGGTCTCTTCTTCGGAACAAGGAGGCGTACCTGTCGATTGCATGTCCTACACATACACTGACGCTGCTCCAAGATATCATCAGAATCGGAATTGCCACAACCTCCGCATATGGAAAACAAACGCGCGATGATCTATGTTTCCTCGGCTATGGCCGCCACGAGACACAATCTGAAAGGGACGAACGACTGTTGGCACAGCGCTCCTCAAGCGCCAAGTGCAGGCACCGAGGCTGGCCCCTGAGGCCACAAAATGCGGCCTCGAGCCAGTGGCTTGAGAGGCAGGGGGGCAGGGGCTGGAGGCAGGTGGAACAGGAGGAGGAAGAGGAGGAGGCAGGAAGAGGAGGTAGGAGGCGGGAGGAGGGAGACGAGGAGGAGGAGGAGGAAGGAGGAGGAGGAGGAGGAGGGAGAGGAGGAGGAGGCAGGAGGCAGGAGGCACGCAGTGCGCGTCTACAGGCTCAACACCCCATCTGCATCGCACGGCTCGAAGAGGAGCCTCGGCAGCCTCTGCGACCAGCATCCACGCCTGCCGCAGAAGCTGAAAGAGCCTTTCACCCAACAGTCACGGAGATCGTGCACCTGCCTGCCCGCCACCGTCGGCGCGGAAAGCTGGTGTGCCAGATCGCACGGGGGACAAGGTTCGGCACGCGAAGGGGGGGCTAGGAGTCGAACAATTATATGAATCCACCTCCTTCCTCCTCCATCCCCCTCTTCCTCCTCTTCCTCCTCCACAATTACTCAATATGAATACTACTCTCCCTCTTCCCCTGATGACGTCTTTTGCGTATTCGCCCCCCCCCCCCCGCGTACTGTTTTTTACATACACGATTCCCCGGAGTTGGGTTTTCGCCTGCGTTTTTTCAAATGCTGCTCTCGCTGAGGCGCCGGCCTCATTTCTGCTCCCGAATCGTTCCGAATCGTGCTCCCGCTGCAGCGTGGGCCTCATTTTCGGATCGGTGTTTTGCCTCCGTCGTTCAGGATGGCGTTCTCGCCCCAGCGCGGGCCTCTTTCTCGCGCGCCCATCCGCCCGCCACCACCGCGCCGCACCACGCCCCGCCCCGCCGCACGCACACCCACCGCCACTTCCACCCACCAACGCACGCACGCACGCACGCGCACCACCACCGCGCACCGCCACCACCACCGCACTACCCCACCCACCACCACCACGCTACACCGCGTCACACCACATCACACGCGCGCACACACAGCACACACACGCACGCACGCACGCACGCACGCACGCACGCACGCACGCACGCACGCACGCACGCACACACACACACACACACACACACACACACACACACACACACACACACACACACACACACACACACACACACACACACACACACACACACGCACACACACACACACACACACCACCACCGCCACCACCACCACCACCGCCATCACGCACGTACGCACCTGGCCCACCACCAAACCACCAAGACGCCACACCACGTCACACCACAGCACACGCGCACACACGCACACACACACACACACATACACACCACCACCACAACAACCACAACCACGCACACACGCACGCACGCACGCGCGCCACCACCCACTACGCACACGCGCGCGGAGCCACAGGTCCGCTACGACACGCGTCCGCGGATAGAGAATAACAGCGCCATGGTAAGGGATGGGAGGGAGGGGTAGGATGTCAGATGTTGACGCGAGCGCACCTAGCTTGTCCTCCTCCCCCTCCTCCTCCTCCTCCTCCTCCTCCTCCTCCTCCTCCTCCTCCTCCTCCTCCTCCTTCTGGCATAGCCTAAAGCGCCTCGGGCGCTGACAGATGAGCGCGGTCATGTCGGTGAACACCTCATGCGTTAGGTACGCGAGAATGATTCCAGCATCCGTCTGGCACACGACGCACATTCCTCAAAAACAACATCCTTCGCAAAGAAAAACGAAACAGGCGCATCCATGTAGATCCCACCGCTGGCAAGAACACGTGCCGTAGAAACTTCATCGTTCACGATGCAAACCTCCACAATGTATGCTGAAGCTGAAAAAAATCCATTGCGCGTGTCACCGTCGGAATGGCAGACGATGTTTCAACCCTCAGCTGGGAAGTCCTGGAAATGGCGTGTCTAAGATGTCTCCAAGTCCATGGTGGCGTTGACTGACGTAATCCGAGATTTTGTTGTATCCGCGGGGCTTTCACCTATACGGGTCTTCCCACAGGTGCGGCGGCTCCACGTCAAAGAAAAACAATGGTTTGATACTCTCCGGAATGCTACGGCACGTCCTTTCCGACTCTGGGCGTTCGAGCGGCGACTTCCCGAAAATCACGTTGCACAGCGGCTGAGAGTCCACTATGAAAAAGATATGGTGTTGACTCGCATGCCAGCTATGGTGCATCTCCTCCCCCGCCGGACCGTGAGAGTCAGACAATTCGGACACATTCGTCGTAACATTGCGTCGTTTCGTCAACCTTTGAACGGGATCCCCCTCCCTTGGATGACGAATTGGCAACAGTGGGGGGCCCAACAGCTCGCACCCGTTCCACGCTGCTAGTGTCAAGTCTCTCAACCAGACTGCCGGCTGTGAGTCGGCCTGGGGCCCTACCCTGACTTTTACACATCTCGCTGATGGTGGCCCAGGGCATTCAGTTATTAGCGGAGCACTCCCAGACGCGGTGGAAGATGCTCTCGATGTGACCGTAAGGGGAGACGAGGAAGGAGGAGGAGGAGGAGGATGAGGAGGAGGGGAGAAGGGAGGAGGAGCAGGAGGAGGAGGCCCCACAGCTCGCACACGGAACTCACAAACATGGGCAAGTTCTGGGTCCATTCGCCCCTCCGGCAGGTCGCCGCGGACTCCTTCCAAGATAGCCCAAATACCGTCACAAGCACATCTGCCCATTCTGGGCGTCGCCCACCGCGAGATGCACGAGCGAAGGCTTCCCTGGACCGCCACGAAACAGGAATGTCTTTCACAGTGCTCCACCACAGTCTGTCTCGATAGCGCCGCGCATCGACGACATGCTTGTCGTTCCATGCGAACGTAGTGCATAACTCCCTCCACTCCTCCTCCTCCTCCTCCTCCTCCTCCTCCTTTGGTTGGTTTCCTCCTTTCGGACAGAGGGTGGGGGAGGAAGAAGATGGATCAGTATAGTCGCCCTCCGCCCAAGAGTAGGCGGGCGGAGCGGGCAGTCGAGCAGGGTGGCGTGGAGGGACGCTGACTGAGCAATCCTAGGCACCCTGAATGTTAAATAATCGATCAACTCATCGGCTGCCAGGCATATGCATGCTTGGCTGGCGCCTAACGAGGGGCCTGACGAGAGAGAGAGAGAGGGAGCACCAAAGAAACATAGCAATCAACAAAATACGCGTAACAATGCCTTGGCGAGCGCGGCGTTCTGCTCCTGCTGCTGGCTCAGCTGGCTCTTCAGGGTCGCCTCCGTCGCTTCGGCCTAGGGGTGGGCGCGCCAAGAGAAGCGGAGATGGCATCGAACGCTCAGGTAAAACAGGATGCGCGGCTCAGGACGAAAGACACTAGGGCACTCGTTGTCAGACTCGTCTCGTCACTATTTCTCTCACCAGGTTCCTCGTCTTCCCTTACAAGGAACATAGTGGGATCTTTTCCTATATCCTCGAAGGGGTCATCGGCCGAAGGAAAAGACGGGAGCCTTTGATTTACTTGAGCCGTTGTCTGAAAGGATTGTCATCGTCGTCATTGGAATGACGGCACTTGTCATTGCCACCATGATTAGTATCCAGGGTATCATCACGACTAGGTATCATCATCAACACCCCAAACACCTCCATCCTCACCCTCATGCAAGTCGCCATCACACACCCATCATCAACAGCACAATCATCAACATCACAGACAGGATCATCACAATCAACACAACCATCATAATCATCATCAGCAGCATCATCGAAAGCATCATCATTGTCATCATCAGCAGCAGTGTGATCACCATCGACATCATCATCATCATTGTCATCATCATCATCATCATCATCATCATCATCATCATCATCATCATCATCATCATCATCATCATCGTCATAATCATCATCATCATTATCATCATCATCATTATCATCACCATCACCATCAGCAGCATCAGCAGCATCATCAGCAGCATCAGCATCGTAATCAGCATCATCATCATAATCAGCATCTTCATCAGCATCATCATCGCCATCGCCATCGGTATCCTCATTACCAACAACACCATTATCATCGGCATCGCCGCCATCACCACAACCATCGTAATCATCATCATCAGCATCATCATCATCACAGTCAACATCATTGTCATGATCACCTTCGTCTTCATCATCGTCCTCAGCATGGCCATAAACATCATCAGCAGCATCGGCAGCATCGCCATCAGCATCATCATCATCATGATCATCAGCATCCTCATCATCAATCCTCACCAATCAGCATCATCATCATCCTCCTCCTCATCATCATCAGCAGAAGCATCATTACCACAATCATCACCATCATCATCATAGACATCATCGTCATCATTATCATAGTCATCATCATCATCATCAGCATCATCATCATCATCGCTAGATTCGCCGTTATCATCATCATCAGCATCATCATCACCATCACAATCATCATCATCATCAACATCATCATCGCCACGACCATAATGACAACATCATCAGCATCATCATCACCGTGATCATCAGCATCAGCAGCAGCATCAGCATCATCAATACCATCCACATTACCAGCATCATCACAATCACCCCCACAATCATCAGCATGATCATCACCATCACCATCACCATCATCATCATCATCAGCATCCCCATCATTACCATAATCACCATCATCATTATCGTCATCGTCACCATCATCATCAACAGCATTACCAGCAGCATCATCATCGACACCATCGTCATCATCACCATCGCCATCATCATCAGCGTCATCAGCAGTATCATAATCACATCCCTCATCATTATCCTCATCGTCACCTCGATCACCATCAGCTCCGTCATTACTATCATGATAAACATGAGCATGCACATCAGAATCACCATCATCATCACCCCCATCATCATCCTCATCACTATCATCGCCATCACAAGCATCATCATCACCATCATCATCATCACCGTCATCATCATTTTCAGCATCAGCACCAGCATCATCATCGCCATAATCATCGCCATCACCATTGTCCGTATTATCATGATCACCGCGACCATCAGCTTCATCAGCATGATCATCCTCATCAACATCTGAACCTTCAGCTGCACCATCATCGGCACCATCATCATCATCACCTTCACTATCGCCACCGTCGTCTTCGTAGTCATGCTCGTCATCGGCACCACCATCATCAGCATCATCGTCACCACCATCATGAACATCATCATCATCATCATCATCATCATCCTCCTCCTCATCATCATCATCATCATCATCATCATCATCATCATCATCTGCAATATCATCAGTATCATCACCGACGTCTTGTTCTAATGGTCATCAGCAGGAGCATTAATAACAGCATCAGCATCGTCATCATCACCATCATCATCATGCTAATCAGCATCATCATAGACATCAGCATCGTCATCACCATCACCATCATCATCACCGTCACCGTCATCTGCACCATCATCATCGTCAGCATCACCATCACCATCGCCAGTACCACAATCATCATCATCATCATCATCATCATCATCATCGTAATCACCATCACCATCACCATCACCATCACAACCAGCATCATGAGCGTCGTCATATCCGTCATTGTCATCAGCATCAGCATCATCATGATCAATATCGTCATCGTCATCGTCATCGCTACCATCATCATCATCGTCATCATCATCATCATCACCGTCGTCGTCGTTGTTATCATCATCATCATCAGCATCATCAATCGCATCACTATTATTATGAAGATGCTCGTGATAATGCTGCTGGTGCTCATCATCATCATCATCATAATCATGACCAGCATCACCATGATCATTACCATCGCAATGGCCATCGCTATCACCATCATCATCATTGCCCGCATCATCACCATCACGATCACCATCACCATCATTACCAATATCATCATCACCATTACCATCATCAGCATCATCATCATCATCGTCACCGTCACCACTATCATAAGCACCATGATCAAAATCTACACCGTCTTTTTGCACCGTCATCATCATCAGCAACATCAAAATAACCATCAGCATAACCATCATCATCATCGACATCACCACAACCATCAGCAGCACCAGCGTCACCGTCACCATCTGCACCGTCATGTGCACCATCATCATCATCAGCAGCATCATCACCATCATCATAATCATCAGAATCATCAGAATCATCATCATCATCAGCATCATCATCATGATCATTATCATAATCACCATCAGCATCAACAACACCATCTGCACAGCCGCATACACCATCATCATCGTCATCATCACCAGCAAGCCGCACGCACGATCACCGTCATCGAAATTACGGTCACCGTCGTCATCATCATCATTAGCATCAGCATCATCATCACCATCATCCTCATCATCATCATCATCATCGTCATCGTCATCACCATCATCAGCATCAGTATCAGCATCATCATCAAAGCCACCACCATCACCATCATCACCATCATCATAGATATCATCATCAGCACACTCATCATCATCATCATCATCATCATCATCATCATCATCATGATCAGCATCATCTGCATCGCCGTCGACGCCGTTATTATCGCAATCATGAGCAGCAGCATCATGAGCATCGTCATAGTAATAATGAGTCTCATCATCATCATCATAATCATCACCATCATCATCTTCAACATCAGCATCAACATCATCATCATCATCACCATCACAATTATCACCACAATCACCGTTATCGTCATCATCATCATCATCATCATCATCATCATGGCTATCATTATCTGCACCGTCATGTGCACAATCCTCCTCATCATCATCACCATCATCATCAGAATCATCATCAGAATCAGCATCATGACTATTACCGTCGACATCATCATTATCAAATTCGCAGTCGTCATGAATATCTACAACACCATCTGAAACATGCCATTTTCATCATCATCATCATCATCACCACCGCCATAGCCATCATCATCATAATCAGTATCAGCATCATCATGACCATTATCAACATCATCATCACCGTCGTCGACGCCACTATCACCATCATCAGCATCGCCATCAGCAGCAGCATCATCATCACGATCATAAGCCTCATCATCATCATCAGCATCATCGCGATCACCATCAAACTCACCGTCACCATCGTCGTCATCAGCGTCTGCGCCGTCATCGCACCACCACCATCATCATCATCAGCATCATCCTCGCAATCATCATCATTATCATCATCACCATCATCATCAGTCCACCATCGTTATCATCATTATCACCACCATCTGAACGAACATGTGCACCATCATCATCATCCATCATCACCATCATCACCATCACCATCATCTCCATCATCGTCATCAGCAGCAGCATAAGATTCGTCATTATGAGCATAGTCACCACCTTCATCATCATCATCACAAGCATCGTCATGTTCGTCATCTTCATCATCATCATCATCAGCATCATCAGCATCATCAGCATCATCATCATAATAATCATCATCATCATCATCATCATCATCATCATCATTAACATTATCATCACTGCCATTACCATCACCATAGCCATCAGCGACCACGTCACCATCATTATCACCATCTGCACCGCGTTCTGCACCATCATCATCAGCATCACCATCGTTATCATTATCATCATGATAACATCATCATCACCATCACAATCATCATCATCGAAATCACCATCATAATCATCATCATCGTCATCATCAGCGTCACCATCATCATCATCATCATCATCATCATCATCACCATCATCATCATCATCATTCTCACCATCATCCGCACCATGATCAATCAAACAACGTAACCATCATCATCGTCATTATCATCACCGTTGTCGTCAATATCATCATCATAATCATCATCAGCATAACCACCACCATCATCATCATCATCATCATCATCATCATCATCATCATCACGATCGTCATCGTCGTCATCGTCAACACCATCATCATCATCAGCATCATCACCATCACAATCATGATCATCATCATCGCCATCACCATCATCATCATCATCAGCATCACCGTCTGCACCATCATCTGCGCTGTCATCATCACCATCATCATCAGACTCGTCGTCATGAACGTAATCGTCGTCGCCATCAGCATCAGCATCATCAGCATCGTCCTCGCCATCACAATCACCATCATCATGGTAACCGTCGTCATCAGCGTCACCGCCATCAGCAGCAGCAGCATCCTCATCATCATCAGCATCAGCATCAGCATCATCATTATCAACATCAGAATGATCAT